ACACACACACACACACACACACACACACACACACACACACACACACCCACACACACACACACACACACACACAACCACACACACACACACACACACACACACACACACACGCGCGCGCGCGCGCGCACGCAGATATATATATGTGTTGTTTTGACTGTTGAGGCAGTTCATGATTTTGTGTTCTCTGGTCGGTTCAACCCTTCGGAGCCCTACATTAGTGGGGTATGCTACATGAATCCTTTTTCTCCATTGTGTCCTATTGAGTGTCATATTTTCATTTAATTTTAATAAATTAAGGTCATTTTCTTAACATAAGTCAAATCTAAAACATCTTCTCTCCTAATAGGGTCATCAGATGGTCAATGTTTAATGTGACCACGGTAGTCCCTCTAATCTTCTCTATTGATTTTAGGGCTCCATAACCATGAGTATTATTTGTCCACTTATAAAACTTTGATCTTGCTTCATGTCCATTATGTATTTAAACTCAAGATCTTGATGTAGGTGTATGTATTTTTCCACATAATTTTTTTTTTCTTGTTTCATGTCCATATTCCATTTTTATTGATGTTTTAGGAAATGTCTTCATTACGCCATATTTTTTCAAGTGTTCAGGGAGAAATTCTTTTTTAAAACAATCGAGAATAAAAGACTTGGGCTACAGATAACTGAATAAAGTACTGATGATAGGAAACATATTTAAAAATTGGGACATATACGTATACCACCCAATTATGTTGTATTTACATGTCCAACACTTAAACTTTATTTTTTACAATTTTACATACAAAAATATCACCATTTTAACTTTTAAAAAGTGAAATACACCTTTTAATGCATAGGTAAGCTGGCATGTATGTTAAAATTGAAATTTAAGTGTTAGATATGTAAATACATAAGAATTGAGTGGTATGTATGTAAATCTTCCTTCAAAATTTAGGTTCCGTATGTTTTACCTTTGAGCTACCTGCTTCTGCATATTGAGCAGCAGAAGCAGTTTTAAGGAGTTTGTCCCAACAATTACGAGAAAAGTTCAATTATATGATAATTGAAAGCACATTTCTTATACTTCATTTGAACTTTCTATTACCAGCATCTGTCCTTTAACAACAAAAGTAATCATAGATTGTTTAGTTCAATAGTTGTGAGGAAAAGTTCAGTTGCATCCAAGCTGAAAAGTTGCTTTCTTAGAACAATATATTAAGTTGCATCCCAGGAAATCTAATTTCTTTAATCAAATTAATTAATTATGTGCTAGTTAAGATTATTATATTATGTTATGCTGTGTAAAATTGTTAATTTTTAATTAAAAAATGGAAAAAACTCGACAATGCAGTGCTGTTCAATAGAATACAACAGAAGAAAACACTGCCAGATAGACCTTAGAATGGAACTTCAATTGGCTTCTCAGAAAGAACTTTTTTGAATTTTAGCTTTTAATCATTTATCTTCCAATTAAGATTAGAATACTATTTTATAATTGTAAAAAATTTGATTATCTCAAGAAGGGTTGATGTATTTCCTCTCCATTGTGGTTATTTTAGCTTTTTGATTGGAAATCAATCTTTTGAATAAAGTTAATATAGATATATCTGAATGATCATTTTTGGCTTGATTTTTGCTTTTTTTAAATTCTTATTTCTGTGAAGCCATACATTTATTATCATTACTCCCAAAAGCTAAGGCTATGGTCAATAACTAATCATGCTGTTCCCTTTGATTTATGACTTGTTATTAAAAGTTATTCTCTGAATTCTATTTGTTATTGCTCTATAAATTCCGCAAGCACCTACTTAATTCTGTAACTATATAAATTAAGGAAAATTGATTGTGATTAAAATATGTAATTCATGTTGGATGTAGCCTGGTGCAGGAAAGGATTGGCTGCTTTAGGAGCAAAGTGCTAGGAGATTATTGTGTTAATATGGACTTTCTACATTATTATTATATTTAAGAAAAAAGTGTGTAAATTGCCCCCTGAATCTTTGCAGGGGGTCATTTTAGTCTCAACATCTATAAAATGCCAATTTAGTGTCCATACTCCTCTATTATGGACTGAAATGGTTCCCATGGAGGACTGTTTCAGCTGCAGTTAAAAATTTGATAAACAATTTGACATTTTTATAAATTCTGAGACTAAAAGGACCCCATTTAAACCGTTAGAGGACTATTATGACACTTTACTTATACATTTAATGTTGGAGTTATTGTTTTTCTTCTCTTTTGGTGCTGACAAGTTGCACAGTTTTATTATCACATTTAATGTTGGAATTATTATTTTTCTAGTAGTTTAGTGCCAAGGTGTCACACATTTTATATGATTTTTCAGGGAATAATCGCATTTATGAGCAACTTTTAGTAGGTTCCTTTTCGTGTGAGAAGGCCATACTCATCCAATCAAAGTTTCCTTATTCTTTTATTCATTATGTCATTGAAGATTGCACGTGCCTTTTTGGCATCATAAGCTTTTGAGAATTTTTAACGTATTCAGCACGTGCATATGGCTTCTCCGGAAAAACAAAAAGGCAAGAAAACCATTTCAAGGTCTAAGAAACGTTCAAAACCTCAGAAACAGGACTCAAGCCCAGGGTGTTCTGGAAGTAAACTCTTAAAATCTGGTATTTCGGGTTCTCAAAAAGATGGGCCTGAAGAACAAACTGGCCAAAGTGAGCTCCTTTTGACTTTCATAAAGCAGTCCAAGAAAGCCAATATGGTAAATGGTGCAGCAAAGCTATCTAACAAATCGGCATGCAAAAGAAAGAAAGCTCTCCCGAAACTGAGAAGAAGTTACAGTTTAAGATCGTTGGATAAAGGTAGAGTTCTTCGATCAAAAGTAGATGCAGCAAAATGTAAAACTTCAGAGAATTTGGCTAACAATCCAGAAAATTTGGTAACAAGAAAAAAGAAAAATAGGAAGAAGAAGGAAAACAATCCTGGTCAGAATGAGTTATCTAGAATCATCAAACACGTCAGATATATGTTGAATCGAATGAATTACGAGCAGAGTTTAATTGATGCTTACTCTGGTGATGGCTGGAAGGGTCAAAGGTTCGAATCATATATTTTTGTATTTATAATTTAACTTGCTATCCTTTTTTTTAATCTGTGTTTTATGTTGTTGTTTTTTTATATTGTGAAATTATATTGCTATATTAATTTCTTCTTTTTCTCTTTAATTTGTTTGTTCTTTTGGAATCTTTGGACCAGTGGATGGAGATTGTTGTTTTAGTTGTTATTCTAATGCATAAGTTTGAGCCACATTATTTTCAATTCATCGCCTGACACTAAAAAGAAAAAGAAAACTTTTTAGACAAAAATAGTTCATGTCCGTCTTTGGATAATAAAATTAGGGCAATGGAGGAAGGTTATCATTTTTTTCATCTTAGCTTACATGGCTCTCGCACTTCTATACCATTTCTTAAGTGCCCCATGGCATTTCAAGATTTATATTTCCTAAAACTACTCTATCTTTAAAAATCCTTTTTTTAGTGTTGAAATTCATGTGTACTCTAATTGCTTGAATCAAAGCCATTATATAAAAGGTAATTAACTCCTATTGATGGCCATTTTTTAAGCAAAATTCTATGGCGATAATGTGCGGGGCTGAGATAGGTTTTTAGGTTTTTAGTTAGCTTTGATGGGGTTGTGCACATATATGGCTTTTATTTCGTTTGTTTGAGTATCTTGACGTGTTTTTTAACTTCAAGTACATCAAAATGCTCCAAGTTTGTCAAATAAATTTACTTGCAAGGTTGAGTTCAAATGCCTTTTTCTTAATTTTTATTTTTATAGAGTGAAAATTCCTTTAAACTTGCAAGCAATAATGAATGCTAATATTTATTACTAGGTTTAGTTAAAAAAAAAGATGAACTATGCTTAAGATGAATTATGTCTTGCTACTTTCTAGTGTGTTATGTTTCAAATGATCAAATTTTTTTTCAATGTTTGATTTTTCTGTTCTACTAAATTTATAAGCTACTTCTAACAATGTGATCTAGAATTGGGGTGTGGAAGGCTTATCGAACTTTGTAAGAATTATGTTGGTCAAGGGAATGTATATTTTTAGTGAGCAATGTAGACCTTAATTTGTATGGCCAAAGAATTAGATACTTTAATAAATATTTGGTGATAATGTCGATTAAAAAATATGGATGGTTGAGATGTTGGTCGATATTGTTTAACCGAAGTCAGAGGTGTTCTTAGTGGTTAACTAAACAAGTGGTAGAAGCTATAGTTCTAGAAGCTTGGCTAAGAATTGTCCTTAGATTAAACCTAAGCTTGTGGTAGTCTAAAGGAACATAATTGCTCGAGTTAGGAAAAAATGAATTGAGGCGTGCGATTGAATTATTGTTTTCTTGTGAATAATTTGTAATATTCATTACATATTCCAATAAGATTAAGGAGGATATATTCAACATTTATGGATGGGATATCATGTGAAATTGACGTTTGCAATTGTTTGTATGAATAAGAGCTCGATAATGTTCAATAGTTGATGAGCCAAATTCTTGTTACCCAAAATTGCTTTGACTTGCATATCTCAAACTCATATCTTTACCACTTATTGTACGAGTCAAGGCTTTAGACTCAAACTTGACTCTGATCAAAGCCAAGTAACCCTAACTCATGGTATCTTACCCATTTTTTAAAAGTGCTTCTGTTCAACCTAATTTAAATAGCTTGCAGCCTTGCATATGACCCATTGTACATTGCTATTATGCTTATGCGTGGAAGTAACCCAAATATATAGAGCTACAACAATGCATTTTAATTCTTGGTTAATAGTTTGGGCTTGGGTTTGAACTGTTCTCAATATACTTAACATGAGACGTGCTTATTATGCCGGTTGTAGAAGTATGTTGATCAATGTAGGATAGTTGAGTTTGCCCCGACAACATTCAAGGGTTGACTTGTGAGACCAAATTGAGGGCATACCCACTGACCACTTAGAGCTCCCCCAAATTTAGCATCCAAGGTTGATTGGTTAGAAGTGTTTGGTGGGGGAGTGGATGGCAATTTGATATGGGGGCCTTAAGAGAGAGTAGTCTCAATGTTAGAAAACCGTAGTGTCCCTCATCAATTGAGAAGATACATTTTGAGCGAAGGATATTAGCCTAAGATAAATTTGGTGAAAATAAATATTCATTATGCTTTTACCAAATAGTTTGGTCAATGTGAGGGGTGGTACTAAAATAACTCGTCTAATTTCTCTAAATTTGTTATTATACTTCTGCCTCTACAAATCATTTTGCTAAAGAGAAAATATTTCAAAGTGAGATTATGTATGGAAAATTTTGAGGGTTTCAATAGGGTAGGCAATAAAAGAGTGCAATTGTGCAAATAAAGGAGCCAATTTGTTATTGAAAGGGAGAGACCATTTGCAAGAGGCAAGGAAGGTCTTGAAGGGGATTGTGGTAGGATGAAGGTGAAAGGGATTAGGGTATTTCAAAGGCTAGGGTTACTTATGGTAAAAAATAGATACAAATATTATATGTACTCCGATTGATACAAATAATATAAACTTCTATCCATTATAGGGAACATTTCTAATATAATTTTGTGATGTCATATGCAAACAAACCTCATTTTTAAAATCCTTCTTAGAGTATTCTAATACCATTTTTTTTATAGAGTTTGTCTCTTGATGAAATTCCTTGGTACTTATACTTAAACAATGTTTTTTTGTATAATTCAATTATTTGATGCATTTTTCATTTCAAACATAAAATACTAATAATTCTTTTGAACAAAGATTCTACTCTAAATTGTTGGTCTAGTTAGCTTGAAAATGGGGTTATCACAAATAGACAATTAGGCTATCAATTTGACAAACTGATATGAGATCTTATGCAAGATCTTTTGTAAGAATGACAAGGTTGCCCCTCACCAAAGCTTGTCATAGGGGTAAGCTCATCGATTTTTTTGTTTTCCATAAGAGTTGATTAGGGGCAAATATAGGGGGCACTTGGTGCTTTTAAATGATGTTCTTTTTGGCATACGGGCAAGCAAACTATGCATACTGTTGTAGGTATTTTATCTTCCTTTGCCCAGTCCAATATATTCTGAGACCACCCTTACACGAGTACTCTCATAGGAGGCTAGCTTGCCAACTATGGTTAGCTCTCCAATGTTGATGAAATCATTATGGTCAAAGCATCCTTTCATTTTGGGACTTGCAATGGGTTTGAGACAATAGGGTTTGAAGGGTCTCCAAAATGTTGTCTGTGGTGGGATTTTTTTAGTGTGCTCATGGCAACAATGAGGTTCGTGAATTTGACATTGTTCCTTGAAGACATAATCTATTGGATTACAAGGTTGTGGCACCAATGTTCGACAACTATGTGATAATTTTTTGTCTTGAATTTATATGTGTTGCTATGCCACTTATAGAGAAAGGATGTTAATAGAGTTAGAAGGGGTGTGGCACCTTAATTAGATTAGACGGAACTTGTATTCTTATGCGAAGTTTGTGTGCTATTAAGTTCACAATGAGGAAGAAATCATTTTCTTTCTCTATAATGGTGTCAAGCATGATAAAAGGTTTGCGAGAGATATGATGGCAAATCGGGGGTGGGCATGAAGACTTTCATTTTTGCCAGTGTGGTTCCCCCTTAGTTTACCAGCTAGTGCTTGTGGTGAGATATTTTTAGTGGAGACTTTGACAATACAAGCTTTAGCCATCGATGAATGATTTGAACTTTTACTTAAAGGATTGTGAACTTTAGTGGAGGTAGATATGAGAAAGTAAAAAAAAAAGTTTGAGTGGTTTGTGATATTTTTCTCTTCGTAATTGGTTATGTTAATGTAAAGACCATTATACATACATATTTATGTGTGAGCCAAATGAATAGTCTTAAAAACATCATCTATTATATCTTAACTCTGTGTAATGTTCCTCGAAAAAGTGTTACTAGTGGTTTAGAATGAAAAGTGATAATTTGAGAATAATGTCGATAGAAATTTTCAGATTGATTTGCACATGATAGGTTTAGAATCCCATATAATAGAACGATGATTCATAAAGTTAACTTCAGATAATTGGGATAAGGCTAATGATGACAAGTCATCCAATTGTAAGTTTTTTCACTAATTATGACTCCTATTATTGCTTTTAGAAGAATGATTTGTCATATAAGTAAAAAGTCTATTATAATTATGAAGTATGCTTTTTTAATAATAATAAATTCATTTAAATATTGTGTTCATGTTGTCATGTTTGTGTCTCTTCCATATCTTTGAAATCATAGGGTTTGTTTTTTTTGTATAAGATTTCATTTTATTGGTTCATTGACATTGTTTATAGCTAATGGATATGATATCAAAGCTAACACAAACAAATATTATTACTGGAAAAGTCATTAGACAGTTACAACCAAAACAATTAAAAGGAAAACAACAACCGACACGACACTCAACGTAACTAGGACAGTATTCCAACGGGGTTGGTGGTTTAGTTGGTGATTTGGACTACAGGTAAATGGTTAGGGGGTGGTGGCTGACTTTAGATGGAAGAGGGAGAGGGGAACAGATGTACTTGTGGTTGGCTATTGGTGGAAGGATTGGTGGTGTTGGGGTGGGACATGTGACAGGGAAATGTTATGGCAGGGGTGTGGGATGGTGGGGTGGCTGAGGATTGGATAACGTTGTGGCTGTTCGTGGAGTTGTAGCAGGAGATACTTGGATGACATACGGGTGGGCAGGCAGCTGGACAGGCCAGGGGTAGGGTGGTTGGTGGCTTGGTTGGTAGGAAGGGAGAAAGTTGGCAGGAAAGGGGGGTAGCAAGTGGGGGAGGTGGTGGATGGCGGCTGGAGTTGCAGGAAAACAACAGGATTGTTGTTTGGAGGTTTTTGTAGCGAGGAAAGGTGACAGTGGCTATGAAGGAACGATTTGAGGGGATGAGAAAGTCGAGAAAAAAATACTCTCTCAGGAACGAGATATAGTTGGATTACCACTCAACTCTTAAGAGTGAATCATCACCTTGAAACGAAATACACCCAGAGCACCACTCATCGTTAGCTACAACCCTAGAAGGGAAAACAGTGTGGATGTCGGTGACTGCTCTGACAGAACACATGCAAAAACTGACCTATACATGACATCAACAACATATATAAACCTAGGGTACCTAAGGATCGATCCCCACGTTAGTTAGGTGCCAAATCCTATGAGAAGTAGGGTCGGCTCTTTGGAGGTGTTTACGTGAACATACATCTGATCAACATTAAATGGTGAAGCTTTGCTGGTCCAATATTTATTTCGCAGGCTATTCTGATCCAAACTTCGACAGCAAGTACACCTGCGTCAGTCTCCTGAGATTGAGGGAGTTTCGACTTTATTTATCGAACCTTCTGTATGCAGGTTGCCAGTGATGGATTTTTTGTAACCTCTCGGGGCTAAAAGATTTTTCGACTGATGCCCTAGAAGCATTGAGATCCTAATATTGACCGCACTGTCTCCCAAAACTCCTAAGGAGTTTTCCTCACTTGCGAGTTGCTAACCATATCAGCTCAACCTTCTGAGGGTACACTATTGAACTAAACTAGGACTTTGTGTCATATATATTCTGTTGAATCCTCCAAAGTGACCCAAGGTCGGAGCAACTTGAATTGAAGTGAGGGCAGCTTGAATCTTCGAACGTGGGCAGCATGGCAGTATGCTATCAAACATGATGTGGTTTGAAATCAGCTTCCCGGTCTCTCTGTCCCTCGTCATCACCAAACTTGATCCTACTGGCGGTTCTCTGCTGGAAAGGGCTTATATAATCTCGAACTCAATAGAAGGTAGAAGGACTATGCGCTAGCCATCTTTGATAAATGAGTAGGTGTTTCTGAATCCGTCATGCTGAGTTCGACTGTCAAACTGCTACAGTCTCCCCAATGAAAGGTGACAGGTATCCATGGACACTAGGTCACACCAAACCTGGTCTTGGAGCTAGTTTACAATCAAAAACTCTATGAGTCCTATCATTGTTGACTCCATTCTTTTTCATCAACCAAGTCAAGGTGTACGTGCTGGGAGTGCTTCTGAGTCGTGAGGCTCAACTTGTATATAATATGTGTAGACATCGTATTCTTGATGCTCACTCCATCGATGACAGGAATACATATTTTCGTTTATGTGCAACAAGCGTAGCATAAGTTGTGGCATAACCACTACTGATCCCTCGTGCCCTCAGTTTGTAGGACCCTTCGAATCACAAGCAATTCACCACCCTCGTCTGTTGGAAGATGGCACTCACCTTTTTTTCAGTTGTTTTTTTATCACTAACTTCCTCAATTCCATCCTGCTCGATGAAGGACACATCTCGGTTCACCGAACAATTGGAAATGATGTGCTCAAAATAATGGCATCTGAAGTATTTCTTGGTTGGGACTATATTTTGGGTACCACTCTTCTCAGACTTCTCACTTTGGGCAACTTTATCATCCTCCTCGCTAGACTTCTCAACTATCTTAGGTGTGCTCCTACTTATGTCTCCAACTATGGTTGATTGTGTGAATTGCGGTGAGTGTTTGGTCAAATCAAGTTGCTGATGACGAACTTTAGACCTTCTATGTATCTGGCTATCGTGTGCTCCCCCAACTCCGTCAGATCACATTTCAGACTTAAGTTGCATAAACTTTGTTGTGTAATTCTCTGATAGGTCCCTTTGCTCTAGGTAGAAGAGCCCCAAGAAAAGATCCAGGCAGCAGTGTGGGGGTAGGTAATATTGTTGCAACTCTCTCTTCATTTTATCCCAGGTAGTAATTATGCTCCGTCCTCTATTTTTGTCCTTCATTAGGTTCTTCAATCACAACGAGGTGCTCTTCAGTTTGATAACAATAATCTTCGCTTTTCGATCATCTGGTACATTCTTGTCTTCGAAAACTTGCTCGACGGTTTGCAATAACTCTATGAAGTCATCCAGATTCATTCTCCCATCGAAATTCGGTATGTCCACTTTTACTCCCGAGCCTTTGTATCCTCTAACAGACATTTCATCTATGTATTCTCTAACACACTTCATCTACGTATTCCCTAACAGAGATTTCATCTCTTTGTCCTCTAATAGACACTTCGTTTTTGTATACACTTACATCCACTTAAACTCTCTGCTTCCTCTAATATTGTATCCCAAAGCGTCGTGGCTTGACTTTTTATCCACTGGAATCATCCGCACAAAAGAGAATCAGGTGTTCCTCTCTTTCTCTCCTCGTCGGTTCTCGCTGGCACACTTAACTATACCCTCTCTTTGGGTCCTTCCTCCAGTTCAGTGAGCGTTTTAGCACTCAACAAAATTCTCGTTGTATCGCGTCCATGGTAAACTCTTAAACAGGTTTCGACAATTTTCTTCTCGGTGGCATGATTAGGTTTTAAACGTGGGTAGGTGGAAGGAGACGAGTATAGGTGATTTACGGTAGGAAAGAAAAATGTTTGGTGTAGATAAATTTGGATATAGGTGGGTGTTAGAAACCCTAGGATAGAACTAGGGTTAAACTAGCTCTGATGCTAAGTGATACCGGAAGCAAGCAAATATTATTACTGATAAATTCAATAGGCAGTTACAACTAGTGGTGCAAACGAGTCGAGTTTGAGCCATGCCCTTATCGAACTTGACTCTTCTGCCAAATTGTGAGCTCAAGTTGAGCTCGAATGCCGA